AATAAATTATGTATGTGCGATATTGTTGTCATTCCGTGGCCAATTTAAACTTTCAGATCGGTCGATTTCTGCTGAAGTGTTTAGCACTTACATGTCGATGATGAGCATGAGCTTGAGCGACGTTTGCGCGATTTGCAACAGATCGACGATCCACAGTTCGATGATCCATAGTTCGACGATCCACAGTTCGACGATCCACAGTTCGACGATCCACAGTTTGATGATCCAGAGTTGCAACAGCTTCCGCTTGAACGACGTCTGCGTGATTTACATTTGGATGATCTACAGCTTGACGATCCGGAGTCATAGCACGATGATGATGATCCACATGAGCTCTTTGGAACGACAACGTAGGTTGTTTCCTTCAATGTTGTACCACCTGAGCTACCACCACCTGAGCTGCTACCATATGAGCTGCTACCACATGAGCTGCTACCACATGCACTAGCAAGTCGTTTGCCAAGCAGAGGTTCTGGGTCAGCGAGAGCTTCTGGTTCTGGCTCTGGCTCAGCAGATGGTTCCGGGAAAGCAACGGTGAAAGCCTAGAAAATGACCAATTAAATAATCTATGTTTTCTTTGACCACATCTTTTCAAAATCCATTTCAACTTACTACCAAAGCGAATAGAGCGATTAAAGCCAAAGTGAATTTCATTTTGAATGATTTTTCGAATGTTTTCTCTTACAATTGCAATTGTAACTGATGCTGTTCGATTAATTTTCGCGGCTTTTTATACCACATTTCTCCGCTTGAAATCAGTATTGATTTTGCAATAATTAGCACACATTTAGATCGCCATTTCAATACAAACGAATAATTAGAATGTCAAACTATTCATTCAACATAATTACTATTGACTTAATTCAGGCATCCGTTCCATTGTTTCAACGCAAATAATGGACACGAAACAAAGCATCCCTTTGTACGAACTGAATGAGTAAACAATTGCGAAAGTTTTTGGTTTCATTGATACGATAATAGCTTTGCCACCACGTGTAGATATCAATCTGGGAAATATTTTCACCTAGTTACTTATATTCGATATCAATGGATTTCCATACAAATTTCCATGGAAATAATACTTCGATTCAATGGACGATCTGCTCATATTTTCATTCGGAATTCTCATTCAAAATGATGCCAAAATTAGATCAAGTGCTCATTTCCAATACGATTTTTTGCTAGATTTCCCCGAAATCAAATTGTTCAGAATGTTCACATTTTGATCAAGATTAAGGTGTTTACAAATGTTCGAATCGCGTGATTCGCACATGCCCTTTACTTTTTTGGACTTTCTGGTTTGTTCCTTCTCTTCTGACTTTACACCCATTTTATTTTTTCACTTGAACCAAAGTATATTGATGAAAAAATATTGTTTACACTTTCCAAACAGCCACCTGAAGTGTTGATTGAAATCCTCGGTTACGGTCAGATAACATCGAATCTCTCAACAAGTTAAGTGT